ATACCACCACATTAATTCATACCTTGTTCCACATGTTAATATGTCACACATTATCTGCAACATGTTAATATGCTACACAAATTTCCCATACCATGTACCACATAAAATATCAAACGCCACCAAATTACTCCATGCCATGTCCCACATATGTCACACACCACATTTCCCCCACATGTTCATACATCGCGCACTACCACATCACCCTAATGCGACCATAGTAGTTTACAATTTACATGAAGACAAAGAGACAGATATATGAGCAATGAGTTACTTAACTAAGAGTGGTATAGCAGTAGTAACAGTACAATAGTTATTGTAGCAATGATTTGTGTTGACATTTGCATTACAGTGTACCAGTACTTGCCACCTGTAGTCAACAAGAATTGGAAAACCCTACAGCAAGTGATGAATCTACTGACCCATGTGTAAGTATGTTGCCATGACTACCAAATATCCTCCAAAGATTCATCACTAGCATTGTAATTTAATGATAGTTTTATTTGTGTAATATAATTAATTAAAAATGGAAGTGTTATTAGCGCTTCATTCATATCTGAATACAAAATGTTTGCCTTCACTTTCTGGACTTCTCAAGTATAGACTACATTGTGTACAGTTGTGAATACTTGTTATGCAAGTGCTACATCGTCTGTTGTATTTTTGTTTTAGCAGTGGTTGACACTTTATTTATAAGTACTGCTTTGTATGAAACAAGAAAGCATTGTCGCTATTGACTACACATGTATTACATGCGTCTCCAGATTCAGAGTGTACAATTTATAGATGTTGTATTCTGTCCTCAGTTGTACTAAATGGTTTTTCCCTTTGTCCCTTCTTTCCTCTCGTTTTCTTGTAAACATGTGATCAATATCTAATCTATATATATTTAATCTAGGCTGACAAACATCATAATTTATTATCCAAGTTGCTCTGTGATGAGTTGAATGTCACTAAAGAACAGATTGTTGACTTTGAACTTTGTCTAGCCGACCACCAACCTGCTGTAAGTTTACTAGAATATATCACACACGCCAAAACGATGCAGTTGTTGTGCAAGTGGGAGTGATGGAGACAGTATTTTTGAAAGGAATTGCCAGATAATGTGAGAAAAAGTAATGCAAGAATGTAGTACAGTGATGGAAACGAGACATAGCAGAGATCGATGAGATCCCCTAATGCCTGAGTGCATACTTTGCGGTATTCTCTTATGATAACCTTGTTATTATACATCTTTTCCTGTTTATAGTGAGATGTATGTATAGCAATCCAACATGCCAGTGAAAAATATTCATGTCTGTGCCATTGTTTGCATTTAGTGAACGTGTTCAAATTTGTCATAAACATAACACAAATTTTTCAAATAAAGAAGACATTCAAATGCATTTGAGACAATCAAACCCTTTCAAACGTTAAGCATTTAACAGAAGGAAGAATTTTATTGTTTTTGGTGTGTGATGTGCTTTTCATTTCATTGCAGTCTATTGGTGGCGTACTAAATGAATTCCTGTTTGCACCAAGACTAGACAATCTCGTGAATGCATACACTGCAATGGAGGTACAATTAATAAACTCTAAATAAACATAAATATTTACACATTGCTTTATAATTTAGACAAAATAGCCATTCATTTCTTAACTTGGATCTTAGCCAGGTGTCAGTGTTTGAAATTATAGAGGTGAATGAGAGTTTTCTTAAACTATTTCAACATATACAAGACTCTGACCATAAGTGTGGGTTTTATACTGATACACCACCGGTTACAGTTTACTATGCAGTGTATACAGTGATAAATTTTACATATGGAATGTTTGATCCTGCATAAGGTTTTGTGCTTAACCATATATCAATGTGTTGTCAATCTTTAGCATAAGACAACTATGAAAGTTAGTCTCTTAAACGTCAAAGACACTAGATATTAGACTAACTTTATTTGTCATATTTTGTGGGTTTTTTTTTCAGAGTTTGATTGCATCATGTGAAGGGGACAGTTTAGAAAAAGAAGGAAACATCCGCATGATTACTCTCTACGATAATGAAGAGGTGAGCTACTTTGATGGTCTGACCGTACCTAGATTTTACCAACTACCGGTAACCTAAACTGCCTGTTGGCAAATCATGTTTGATTCCAGTCCCTGTTTTGCATAATTTATTAGTAGTATTTAATGTGGATGTTTCGTCACAGGAAGAGCCGACTCAGCACAGACCTGTGTCATATGACGCCTTACTAGCGGATTTTGGCTAAAATAGCGGTCCGTCGCATGTTTGCACAAGTGTTTATACACGAAACTTGATATTTTTTTTACAAATTTAATTTGCTTTTTAATCACATTTTAGTGAAATATTATTTAGTGAGTGAAATATTAATGTCAAACATAATTCAATATTTGGAACAGCAGAAACTAACACATAATTAATGATAATCAAATTTGTGTTTGACGTTCAAAATTTCCCACGTAATTTTTGGTTTCAACTAGCTGGAAATATAATGTCCTTGAACGTTACACATAGAACACCATTTGAATCATGAACTACCAGCGTCAACTAACGGCAAATTTATGCAATTTTGGGGCCAGTTTATTTCTAAAATATTAAGAAGTTTTGTTTATCATTATTCAGTAAAGAAATCACTGAAACGATTTACTATATCCATAAAATATGTGACAACCGATGATTGACTTCAAAACCTTTGAAGTTTTGAAAACAAAATCTTGGCACTCCTTGCACAATATGCATCAGATTGGTGTAATGAGCGTCAATGATTTAATGTTTCTCATATAAATCCTATAGCATTATTAGTGCCCGTTTAGATGCAGTCCAAAAACAGGAACTTAAAGATTGACATCCATGTGTTTGTTTGCGCATTCATGGTTGCCCACCACATTCAAAAATGGCAGCCATTTTGATGTTAAAAATTCAACAAAAATCCATTCCTTAAAATGAGCAAATGTAATTTAATTTTGTTCTGGAGCCATGTCTCTAACATGATTAATATCAAACTTTACAGCTACATTATATGTCATGTAATTTGTTTCATGTTTTGACTTATTTATGTTTTGTTTAGTATTCAACTAACATGACTTGATTTTCTTTTAATGCATTTTGACATTGGCTAGATCACAAAATCAGATCAGAAACTTAATTCAAAGTGAATTTAACTAATTTCTCAACATTTAAACTCACTCTGAAAAAGTTATCAATGTTATCAGTTAAAGTTATCAATGCTGCCTCAGGAAAATCAATCACATGACTTGCGTAAATACATTCTGGTCATTGGTTGTACTGCCCTCAGGTGTTGGGATTAGATTAAATCATATTTGTTTTTATTTTCTTACAGGTTGGATCTCAAACAGCCCAAGGTGCTGAGTCTTCATTAACAGAGTTTATAATGAGACGCTTATGTGCTGGAGGTAGTTCTACAAGTTTTGAGGAAGCAATTCCCAAATCTTATCTTGTCAGTGCTGACCAAGCACATGCTATACACCCTAACTATGCGTAAGTACAGAACTCCTAGAAATATGATGTCGCTTTGTACAAATTTGGGCAAACATGCACCTGCCTCTACATATCGTGGAAGAAGAGATTTATTTTATGAATGGGTATGAAAGTATGCAAGCAATGGGATTTATGGGTATAAATACACATCAGTATAAATGATTGGATGTGAAATAAGAGACTTGGATACCAAGACAGATTCTGTTGCCTTTTCAGTATAAATCTCTGCTGATATATTCTCACATTATTTCAATGTAACTGATCACAAATAAATGAAGTGTGTTACTGTAGTTGATCTAGTAATATACAGGTACACTATATACTTCCCCTGTCTGTCTACTTGCGTTATTACCATTTAATTTTGTTTCTGGTTATTTTCAAAAATTAATGTACAATGGAGGTTGTAATAACAAAATTTCTCAAACTTTCTGGAATTCTGTGTCATTATGACCCTGAAGTATTTGTTGCGACAAAATTGAGTGATTATCACTGAATAATCAACTTTGGGGAAATTTGCTCTGGGTGTTCAGTTATGATGTGAAATGAAATTCAGACAATTTGCATTGCTGCAGTGTTTTTTATAGAACAAATCTAGATATACTACGTTAACTACTAACATAAATTTAGGTTAGTTATATAATAATTTACTTATTGAATACAATTTGATATACTTTGTAGAGAGAAGCATGAAGATGGTCACAAAGTAGCACTACACAAAGTAAGTTATGAATCGGTCTTTCCCAATCTAAGTACAATGTATATCACATCTGATAGAGATGGAAAATATTCTTCTGTATTGCATGTCAATGTTTATGATACTAAATTATGTCAACATAGGGTGCTGTTCTGAAGTTCAATGGCAACCAGCGTTATGCCACCAGTGCTGTGACAGCAGCTATATTGAGAACAATTGCAGAGAAAGAAAACATCCCTCTACAGGTAATGTATATCAATTTGGAGAGTATTTTGGGATTGGCCTTGTTGTGCAAATAGATGTAATATGGATCGATGATAGATGAATAAAGACAAAATCTCTCACATAAATTGAAATCGGATTGTGCTCGAGTTGATTTCAAGATTAGATTTTTCAAGTTATTTAGTCAACATACATGCTTCATTTAAAATTTTCTCCTGCAATACTGTGTTCTTCATACAAATTTCCCTTGCAGTTACCAATTTACCAACCTTGCTTCACTCATCAGACATCAATGGAACACATTGCAGTTATATTTTGTTATATTGACCTCTGTGCGTGCTTGTGTGTGTGAACATGCCTAGGCTGATTACATTTAAACTTCACACATACATAATATTATACATGTGTACATCAATTTGTTTCACTATCTGGTTCAAGATGACCGATTGACGGCCATTTTTGCATTTCTGGCATTCCGTAACTAGATTTCAGCTGATGGATTTCGTTCAAACTTTGACTGATTATGTTCAAATTTTATATATTCATTATACATCATGTCATAGATATACAGATGTATTCAAAATGGTCGACCATTGGCTATTTTTTTCTAATTACCGGTAATGCTTTTCTAGAGCAATATTTCTCAATATGGACAAGTACTCGTTTAATAATCAGATACAAGGTTATTGAATCTCAACCATTTTAATGGTAAAAAAAAATCATAATCAAGCATCAGCTTCTGGATCCATATCGCTGACATGTTCCAACTATCTTACTATAAACAAATCTATATATCATATATCTATATCGTGCTTTATGAGGGAAGACAGTTTAACAAAAAGATTACCAGCTGCCTCATAACAATAAAACTCTATTTTCTTTTCTACTATTCATGTTTTTTTATAAATTATCTTCGTTTTTCTAACTGTTATGTATTTTAGTAGTTTTAGTTATATTTTTAATTTTGTTTTGTCATTATTTTTATATATATTACTTTTATTGTATTTATCTATACCAGATTGTGGATACGATTTCAATAAATTTATTATTATTATTATCATAAATTTGATAACTAACAGGCACTTTGCCATGCATGCATGGCTTGTTATATCTAGAACCCACACTTGAAACCTTCCAGAAACCCTTTTAGCTGTATTTTCACCAAAGAGTTCTGACAAGTACGAAAATGGGGATCTATGCATTGACCTTCATGGGTTTGTGCATCTGTTCGTATCTCGCAGTATCTCACATAGGCTTAGACCGATCAAGTTCAAATCTTTTATATTTCCTGATTGGATTCATAATCCCCTGACACAAACGAAGATTATTTCATTGACAATTACTTGTTTTTCAGAAGATTATTTCATATTGGACACTGATGATATCTAAATGCTTTTATTTAATACTCGTCTTGCAGGATTTTGTTGTACGTAATGACAGTCCTTGTGGTTCAACTATCGGTCCTATTATAGCGTCTAAGCTTGGTCTGAGAACCATTGATATTGGGTTCCCACAGTTAGGTATGCATTCTATACGTGAGATGGCATGTACAACAGGAATCTATCAAGCTATTCAACTTTACAAGGTATGATATATGTAATAGTATTCTAACTGGCATCTCAGGTTTACTTTTGTGTGTCAAAGTTCAAGCAAAAACCTCATTCATGTCCATCCGTGTATCTGCTTTCATTTCTTAGACATGACTGGATTGATATTGTTTCAACTTGACTCGTACTTTTTTTTAAATAATATTTTTACATATATTTTGTTATTATTTTCAAACTCTTTTTTGCTGTACTTATTCTATGTAAATCTTTTTACATGGAGACAATAAAGTTATTATTATTATTATTTAGATATTCCCATGCTAAATGTACACATTTGATGATTGTCAGTTTTAAAAAAGTCAGTTTTTCTCTGCCATATTTCGCTCTGAAAGATCAGCATTTTGACATTGAACTTTAGAAAATGAGATATTCAATTTCAAAAAAAAAATGTTCAGATATTCATTTGATTTTTGCAGCAGACGTTCAGTGGCATGCCTTCTATGTATTACACAAGAAATTGCAGTGATCAAAAAATCACTTGTTTGGTTTTCAAAAAATGCATCAACATAAATCTTTTTTACAATTTTGTAATCGGTTCATTTTAGTATTTATTGTAGCTTGTATAACAAATCCTTGATTTTTTCTTTCAGGCATTTTTTGAACATTATCCAACAGTCAATGCATCTCTTGTTATTGAGTAAAAGTACATAATCAGACCTTGGCAATACTGAAGATATTCATAATCTTATGTATCCATTCCTCTATACACTTTGAGCACTCAATTTTTGGTGTCATAAATTCGAAAAAAGCAACTTTTTCACAGAATTGTAATTTTAACATATTCAACACCAGATTTTCTCTCCCAAATATTTCTGTACTTTTTTTTAATATTCTTAAATATTTCTGAAAATGAATCCTAATTTTGTAGCCATGAGCAGACATAAATGGGATCATTTTGTGAATTTATGATGAAAAGAGATTATTTCCAATCGTAAGACTGAAAACTGAAAATGTCACATGGCTGCTCACTAGTATATACTGATAATAAAGAATGATAATCTAATTTGTCTCCTTCATCTATTAATTAATGTTCTTCATATCAAATTCATGTGGTGGTATCAATGTCCATTTGTTTGAGTGGAAATAACTGCATGACGTGGCATGGAACATCTCAGCACAACAATTCTGTACAAGAAGATATTTATCTTAGTCCATCCAGAGTTATACCACAGTCACTCATTGACCAATCTCAGTCACTCATTGACCAATCTCAGTCACTCATTGACCAATCTCAGTCACTCATCGACCAATCTCAGTCACTCATCGACCAATCTCATTCAAACTTCAAAAACAATACATCATGTCTTACATATACATATCAAGCTACTTGATGCAGTGAACCTAAAAAATATAGCTATTTCTGAATGTTTTGTTGATAAATTCAGTGTTTACTATTTTCAATGTTGAAATTCATGATAAATAAGTGTTGAATTTGTAAATACAAAAGTCAGATCATTAAATTAACATCATGGATACCTTCAACACTTGCGTCTGCGTGTTGCTGTACACACTCTAAATCTGTTTTTGAATTCTTTTAAAGTGTCACGAGTAACTTCTATATTTTTTCTACCTACAAATTAATATCATGGCCCAATGCTTAGGAAGCAATGAATGTGACGCCAGGAAATGACAAGGACCAACAAACAAGATTATATCACTATCAAAATATAAATTTGTTCTGTGCGCACAAGGTATCACTGGATTGTACAGTATATGAAAATTACTTTCAACAAATTAATATACATTCAATATCATTCAGATAAAATACTTACCTCAAATATCTAGAAGGATATGCGATTAGACTATAAAATAGTTATACAAATTAACACTTACTCACTTGCTGGGGTTCATTACTAGTCTAATATACAGCAATGCATTTTTTCACAACTTGATCAGAGCAAGGAGGTATTTCCTTCCTCCAAGATCGGAGGCTCCCATTTTGAAATCCCTCGAGGGGTGAACTATTAACACCTGGTACTCAAAAATATGTATTCTGAAATTGACAAACAGTTCATTCGACAAATAGAAATTCACAGGAACTTGTTTCAGCTATTAGAACAGAATGATAGAGGTTTTTATAATACTATTTTAAAACCGCCTTTCGAAAACAAAGATTGCAGTGTTTGAAGACTTAGATTCTCAGGAGGCAACAGTACTGTTGACCTCTCTCCACTGGACACCAACTACATTGTAAATATTTAAGTTGATTTGCTTGCAACATGATAGCTATTCATAGAGGGCGTTTTTCAAATAATACAGTAGTCACACAATATAATAAGGCAGTTCATATTTGTTTCAGTGAATCATTAATTTTTGACAGACACCTGTACAAAATGTTTGGACAGAAGCCAGCTATGATTTTCTGTTATCTTGCATTATTTTTGTATTGTTTTATGAATCTATTCACGTCTAAATGCAGCACTTTTTTTCTGAGATGAGGCATTTGTTTTTATACTAAAATATCTGAATTACTTCGAATAAAGCTGGAAATGTTTTTGTATGATATTTACATCTACCATGGACATTCGTAGACTGCTTTCCAACTGTTGTTTCAACCCCAAAACTTATTAGTCCACGTTCGGACAAAGTCTGAAAATGGGTACTTATAATTCGGTCTCCGTCCGTCCGTTCGAAGTCATATCTCAGAATCCCTTGGACCGATTCTGTTCATTCCTTGCATGTGCCTAGTACCTTATGTGGGACATATGCACATGCAGTGGTTTAGTGATTCGATTCAATATGGCTGATTTGCAGCCATCTTATTTTTTTAAAATTTTGGACATGCTTTGTCAGTTTTCATTCAAACTTGGTACATAGATTATACATGTTAGGATACATGTCCATGACAATTTGTTTCAAAATCTGGTCAAGGATGGCCAATTGACACGCTTGCGACGAGCACAAAGAAAACTTTAAAAAATTTAACAGGGACTGTATCATTTTCAATGACTTGTTAATTATGACAATGCATATTCATATTGAAACAAACTATGATAAAGGGAATAATATTATATAACAAATGGCAAGGTCACCAGAGTTCAAAGTTGTTGTTACAGTCAATTATTGTTGATCCTAAAAACACTCAAAGTGATACAGGCATTTGTGATAGCTTTTGAATAATGTATTAATGGTGTGTAATGTTTGATTCCCATGTGCGAAGCACATAATGGGAGTCTTTGCAGTTAGTGTGTCTGTGTGTGTGTATATGTGTGTGTGTGTGTATGTGTGTCCGACTGTTCCACTGCTATCTCAAGAACCATACATCGGTTTTTGATGAAACTTGGTGCATAGATGCTCTGGGCCAATGCGCAGATTTGATTAGGTTTTGGTAAAAATCCATGCTCGTTAATTACCTAATTTGCATGATAATTAGCTGATTTTTAGCTGTTCTATGACTGTTCCACTGATATCTAAAGAACCACTCATTGGATTTTGATGAAACTTGGTACATAGATGCTCTGAACATATGCGCAGATTTGATTAGTTTTTGGTAAAAATCCGTGCATATTAATTACCTAATTTGCATGATAATTAGCTGATTTTTAGCTGTTCCATGATTGTTCCACTGATATCTAAACAACCACTCATTGGATTTTGATGAAACTTTGTACATACATGCTCTGAACTAATGCTAGGTTTTGATTAGGTTTTGATTAGTTTTTGGTAATAATCCGTGGATACTAATTACCTAATTTGCATAATGATTAGTCAATTTTCGGTTTTTCCACTGATATCTCAAGTACTAATCATCACATTTCAATGAAACTTGGTACATAGATGTCATATGACACTGCACAGACCTGATAGTTTTTATGGTAATATCAGTACATATTAATTGCCTAATTTGCATAATTAATTAACTTTCAGCATTTGATATAAGTACTAATCATCACATTTCAATGAAACTTGGTACATAGATGTCATATGACACTGCACAGACCTGATAGTTTTTATGGTAATATCAGTACATATTAATTACCTAATTTGCATAATTAATTAATTTTCAGCATTTGATATAAGTAGTGAGCATTACATTTCAATGAAACTTGGTACTTACATACTCAAGGACTATGCAGAGATTGATTGTTTCCGATAAATATTTGTGCATACTAATCACCTAATTTGCATAATTAGTTAATTTTCAGCTTTTCCACGGGTATCTCAAGTGCTAATCATTGCATTTCAATGAAACTTGGTACATAGATCCTTTAGGACTATGCAGATACGTGATTAGTTTAGGGCAAATAATTGTGCATATTAATTAACTAATTTGCATAATTAATTTTCAGCTTTTCTACTGATTATCTAAGTACTATCA